AAATGACAAAGCGAGGGCCGCCGCGATGGTTCTTCTTCGGGTAGGCGACGAGAATGTTCTGCGGCTTGATGTCGCGGTGGATGATGCGCAGGCTATGCAGGTGTGACAGGCCAGCTGCCAGTTGGTACAGCGCGCCAGGTACGTTCTTGTTGATCTCGTCGACAATAGTGATCTGCTCGGATGGTCGGGCGTCCCTCGACCCGCCGTCATGGTACAGGTCCCACAGACTGGCCTGGCACCGTTCGACCACAATGAAGAGGAAGTCGCGACCCTTTTGGTGACAAAAGTACCGAATCACATTCGGGTGGTCGTCGCTCTGCCGCAGTAGCGCCACCTCCTGCGATGCAAGGTCAAAATGCTGGACCAGCATGCGTTTGATGGCAACCTCGCGGCTCTGAAAGATGCCCTCGTACACGACGGTGCCACCGCTGCCATAGCCGAGGATTCTACGTGGCGTAAATTTGAGATCGGGGTCCGCCTTATCGTCAAGCTCGACAACCGTGCCGTCGACAATGGCACACCACTCGGGCTCGATAGACCGTGTCGAGACAATGCCCTCGGAGATGCGTTCAATCTCGCCGTCAATCTGCTCTTCATCGGCCTTGGCCTCGTCCTCCGACTTGGGCTTACGCTTTTTGCGTCCACCGCGCGTGCCACGGTGCGCTTTCTTCTTGCGGGGCGTTTCCGCCGCAGGATCGGCCTGATTGTCGCCCTCAGGGTCCGGAGTAGTGTCTGCTGATTCGGGACTGTCTGTGATATGTCCCTTGTCCGAGTCTTGCCCCTCCTCCTCTGGCATGGCAAAGTGCACCTTTCGTTCCAGTTTTAACTCGGGGACCGGGGTCTGCACCTCAGGAACGGCTGGCGCCACTGGCGTCGGGCGGACCTCCACATCCTTCGCACTGACAAGCACCTCCGAGGGTCGCGAAAAGGGGATTTTGTGGTTGAGGACGCTGGCCAGGATAACCGCTGCGAGGATCAGCGCCATGAGTTCTGCCCAGAAATTCTGGAACAGAAACGCGAAGCTCGAAAGAGGCGTACGGGGACCCGGGAGCAGCAGTTGTGGTGGCGGGGCCGGCAGCTCCGGCGTGATATCTTCCTCCTCTACTTCGTGCTGCACGCCGTCAATGGTGAGAATGGTCCGCTTTGACTTGGGTTCGGTGAGCGAGTGCACGCCAACAAGACCGTCTTCGATGTCGCACTGCGGCTTGTCCCAGAAGCTGCCCTGGTTGGATTCGTAGCATTCGGCGTTCGAGGCGCCCTCTGTGACGAAGGGATAGCTCGCCTCAGACAGCGCATACCAGCTGCCAGACTCGGTGCGGTTGAGGAACACGCGTCCCATTTGCTTTTCATCAGGCACGTGGGCCATCGGCTGAGGTAGCAGGACGAGCGGCGTGTTTTTGGCATCGACGACGCCTGGTCCAGAGATAGGGCGAACCACATCGAACACACGGATTACGGGCGAGGACGAAAACTTTTTCTTATAGAGCGGTTTCTTCGTGTTGTCGTCCGTGTGTTGCAGGGCGACAATGCTGCCGTCGTAACGGGCGTAGATGTACAGATTGTCAAGACTCGACTGGTACTGGGCCATCAGATCGCGATCGCGGTTGTTGGGCGTCCATTCGAAGTATTTTATCGTGCAGACGTGCTCCATGGTATCTTTGTCCTGGATGCCAATGGTGTACTCTGCCCGGCCGAGGTTGATGGTCTGGGTCGGCTCGCACTCGTCTCCCTCGAGATCCAGGGCGTTCATTTTGCGGCAGCTGCGGCCATCCATGACGCTCGAGCTGCCTGCACTAAAAAACTTCAGGGCCTCGCCGCTTGTTGCATTCAGGGTGAATAGCGAGTTGCGTTTCTCGGCCGTATAGACAAATGGCGATGTTTCATCCGCGTACGGTGACAGCTCCTCGGTGAGCTGCTTGACGGTTATGCCCATCCTCCGCAGTGCACCATCCGGGCCGCGGACATAGACGTACATGCTGCCATCCTGGTTCGGCTCGACGATCCACGTAAAGTCCTTCCAGTCCTCGACATCCGAATCGTTCTGTTTGTGGTACGAAATATCGACCATGGGCCTGCCAGTGTCGAAGCGCCACAATTCCTGGCCCGTAAGCCTGTCTCTGGCATAAAGTGAGCCATCAACCGTCGCCAAGAGGACTAATCTGTCAAACTCCCAGTCCTGCAGCTGTCGCGCGCGAGCACCGAGCACCGTGGACAAGCCATCGGAGGGTGCGGCTGCGAGGCGGGCAGGCTGGGGAATGGCTCGAACAGCAGCCAAGGAGTCTGCTGGAGCGATAGTCGCGACGGCGCGCTGGTTGTTCTTGTTGTTTTCCACAACAGGGGACGTGTGCTTTCCATTCCGGTATACAGTGTCGACGCGCACCGACTGCACGTCGTGAGGGGCTAGCGGTGTGAGGGGCCGCTGGAGCGCCGCGTTTTCCTGTGGGGAGATGCGGTGCTCGTTCGAAGGCGGTTGCTGCTGCCGAGCAACCGCCCCCACGATAGCAAAGAGGAGTACGGTGGTGACATGGAGTGGATTGAAAGCGTTTGGCATAATTCTAGTATGAAGACAAAGCCCGTCGCCGGCTCAGGGAGAGCCAGTGGCAGAGCATCAGCGGTAGGGAGCGGGAGAGGAGAGAGGGAGCAAAGTCGAGAGCACTGATGGCGGGGGTTTGAAGAGTTGATGAGATTAAACGTCGGTCTCGTTTCGTTTCTGGCGTTATTTGAGGATTGAGTCGGGTTGGGGTTTGGAGTGGGAGTGGAGGATTATGGAGGAGAGTGAGAGAGAGATGAAGTGCGGCAGTGACAGTGTGTGTGGCCCTCAGCGTATGAGCTGAGGTGAGCGCCGGAGGGAGCGAAGAGAACAAGGGTCGGGTTGCGGTCTTCGACCAATCAATTGCCACCCCCTGGCGTCGCGACACGCACTGGTGCAGCCCTTTGCAGCGCTTGTGTGTGGAACTAAACGCTGGTATAAGGAGCTATGGAGTTGCTAGAGTGGAGTAGTATGCGGGGGTGGGGTTGGGGCGGATATAAAGTTTGGAATGGAGGCTGGTTTGGAGCAGAAAGCACAGGAGCAGGAGGAGCAGCGAGCGTGAGGATCGAAGACTTGATATGCGGGGGAAGTCGAAAAATGAGAAGTCGAAGAAGTGGAAGGCATTCCACCACCGCCCGCCCCCTTCTTCCATGCAAATCGCCCTGTCTTGAGTACAGAAAGGCCAACAGCGGCTCGCCTGAGGGCCATGTCACCAACCATGACATACCTAAAATTCCTTTCTTGCAAATCAACCATAGTACAAACCCGCCTTCCGCCATCCTCCCCGCCTCCCGCTGGTACGTTTCACCGCACGACTCGAGACATCCATCTCGACTCAACCCCTCACTCGCCCATACCCACATTCAGCGACGTCCAAGCCTCGGCCTCGAAAAGCATGCCAACTCAGAAACGTCAGGCAGCCGTCGATTGCACCTTAGCGGGCGATCTTCCAGCTTCGATTAATCTATCGCGTGCGCTGCCCGCAAAATTTGCAACGCCATTGCGAGGCATGCCCGGACGAGTGACCACAATCTATGGAAACAGCGTACAAAATCACTCTTCGCCACCCGTCAGGCACGGGAGTGCGGTGCGGGTGCGCCCGTTCGAGGCCGGCGCGTGCAACGGATATATCCGTGAGCGGTCGAGTTTAATCTATCCGCTTGCTAGTGTTTGCCGCAGTGGCGAGAGGCTGGTAGCAAGGTGGTACGTGGGATCTCATATCGAGCGGCGCGAAGATGAGGACTGTTTAATGCGGTCTGCGTTACATCAGTCTGTCGACGACGGGACGACACTCGGTTTTCTGGGTGGTCGTTGATGAAGCTAGACGTCTGATCGAAGATAAGGTGGGAATGCTCTTGCGTCCTCTTTACGTCAGGACGAGATCGGTTTTCGATGACTTGCACGATGAAATGGAGATGTGCTCATGGACTGCCTGAAAAAGTCGTGGCCGCCCCGCTTACGCATCTTTACGGACGTGGCGGGCATGATCTTTTAGGGTGCCTGTTGGCTAACACATGGTCTCGCAGGTGAAGCATATGCTGTCATTCCGTTGACGTCCGAGCAAGTCTCCACCGTACATCCATCCCATCCGCTTTGAAACCAACACTTCCTCGAGTATTATCACACCTCAAGATCGTCCCCATATCGCCTGGTTGGACAAATAATCCCTCTTCAACCCGCCTGTGTTGGCTGGTTGGTCATTGTTGTTGGCTTGTCATTGGTGGGACGGCCCAACTTCATCCCTCGTCAAGTTGGGGAAGCACCGTGCTCCAAACCAACCCAACTACGTCGAGATCACTCGATGCTGGGTCAAACACAGGATCTTCTACATCTCTTCCAAGCGTGTTCTATTGGGTTCATATCGGGCCAGTGCGCGGGCTAGCCAGAATAATTGACTGGCCCACGTACTGGCCGAATATGAACCCAATCGAACACGGATGGTAAAGGTGTAGAAGATCCTGTATAAAGACGATGAACCGTTCTCATTCCATCTCGGCCTGGCCATATGCCATACCGTTACAACTGGATCTGGGCGAGCGTTAGGGCCCGTCCGGTCAAGGTCGGGATATGAGTCGACTCCTTATCCGATCTCCATTGAAATGCGAAGCTGATTTTATCTCTAGGATGTCTAGAGGATTGCTTCCATCCGATAGATGCCAGGACGTAATCTTGCTTCTTGTAAGATCATCGAGCTCTCGAAGGTCTTTATTTAATATCTCTTTGATTTTCTTCCAAACGTGCGCGATTGGCTTTCTTCCAGGCGAATGCGCGGGCAGGTCAATCATCCCGATTCCGTACCGCTCAATAAACCCCTTCGAGTTGCTACAAATCTCCGATTGACCCGCCCGCTCATTCGCCTGAAAGCAACCTCATCGAGCACGTGGAAGAAAATCAAAGAGATATTGAATAAAGACTTCCCGGAGCTCAATCTGGACAAGTCCGCCTTGACAGCCGACCTCTCATCAAACAAGCGGCTTTAGCTCAGTTGGGAGAGCGTCAGACTGAAGACATTCAGTCGGAATTCGGCACACTGTGCTAATCTGAAGGTCACCCGTTCGATCCGGGTAAGCCGCAACCCTTTTTGCTCTCTTTGCTTTTGGGACCGGAGTGGAAGGGCTAGGGAGGGAGCTGGATGAAAACGTAGAGACGAGAAGATTTTTTTTGGGCCGGGGATGCCTTGTGTTCATTATCAGGAGCTTGGGCCGCGTGTACAGGGCACCTTGAGGATCTGCTGGCCGGTTGGCATGTTCGGCTCACGATGTATGTTGCAAGAGGAGGAGGAGTGGTAGTGAGGCTGGGATATAGACTGAGCCTGAATCACATATATTCCCGAGAAAGCAATCGGACCAAAGTTCCTCTTATACTCGAATCATCTCTCCCATGCTCCGTTCGTCTACACCCCGCCCTTAACCACCTGTCGCTTCTCCAACCACATACCAACCAAAACCTCACCATCAGCATATCGTCAAAAGCATCAGTAGTAGCACCACGCACATCCATTATGAAAAAAGCCTCATACACCTCCCACAATTACCCTCCAACCCTCCAACCCCCCTCCCCAAAACGCAAAAAGGGTGTACGAAGGCAGCACAAGCAAGCCCTCCACCACAGAATATACAACTGCGCCCTGCGCCCTCCCCCAAACATTACCCCCTTCATCTCATCCCATCAGTCCCACCCCATCATCCCCATCCCCTCATCCTAATCATCATCCCCCCCCCCCTACTCCTCCCTAACTTCAACCCAGCCTCGCCGCCCTCGCCTGTTTTCTCGCCTGCAACTTCTTGTACATAAACAAGCTGCCGAGCAAGAGGGCAATGGCGCCGACAATGGCAAACACGAGGATGACGCCCGGCTCGCGCGCGGCCCAGTTCTTCTTGCGCTTTTCCAGGAGATGGAGTGTTTCGGCGGCGCGCGGCATGAGGTGGGTGAGGGCGAGGGCGGGCATTGTTGTTGTGTGTGTGAGGGGTCTGCTGGTGTTATTGGGGTGTGATGGGGGGCGGGGGGAGGGACGTACGGTGTGTGTAGAGAGGTGGTGGTGGTAGTGAGGGTTGGAGAAGGTTGGAGAGGTTGGTGGTTGTGATAGTGGATGGATGCGATGGTGCTGGCGCGGCGTGAGCAAAGCAAAGCAAGAAGCACTCGAGCAGCGCAAGCGACGTATATCAAGCGATCCGAGTCTCTGCAAAAAAAAAAATCCTCAAGAACAAGAAACCCGTAGCAAGTAGCAACTACACCCGACCAGCCGCCGGCGGCCGGGCGCGCTATGGCACAGGGCAATCCCCGAGCGCGGCCGCGCGACAATTTGCATTGCTGCCAGAGACCTTCGCGTCGAGGACTGGTGTACTTTGTTCCGAGGGCCCCGTTGGTGAGAATCTCCGAGGGGAACGCGGTGCGGGATTTTGCGTGCCAGCCGATGACGACGGGTGGGGCGGGCGGAGGGGAAGGATTGGGGAGGGGAATTGGAGCTGGAGCTCGAGCTTAAGGAAAAGGTACTCACATCTAACAGCTCAATCCCTCAAACACAGGTAACAGCAGCAAGTACACAGTCAAAATCTCACGACAATCACAGTACCGTAGATGACGAGGTGAAGAGGTGAAGAAGAGGCGAGGAGGAAGAGAAGAATGCCGTCAGCCGGCCGGCCCCCCCAAGCTTCCCTCCCCTCCCGCGCCCTGTTGCCAACCTCCCACCCTTCCCACCCCCACTGATTGGCGCGCGATTAGCTACTGCAGTCTCCACCGCCCTAGCCCTTCCGCGACGGGTGGGGCATGGGAATGGGAGCGCGAATTTTGCTTCCTACCGTGGTAAATCCGTACAGGTTCGCGGGTTCCGGGTCCCGGATGCCCGTTGCGGTACTCGTATGTGTGCCGGGTGTACCGCTCACGCGAGCAGCTCCAGCAGAAGGCAGAGCAGCAGCAGCAGCCGAAGAGCTCGACGGCCGCAATTGAGGCAGAGTTAGAGCACAGCGGTATCACGACTCATCCCCTCGCTCGGCGCAGAGCTCGCGACTCATAGCTGTAGCACACCCAGCCAGGCCAGGGCAGGGAAGGAAAACAGGCGTCGTCATTCCCCACCCAGGCCCGGTCCCACCGGTACGAAGTTTACTTGCACTTACCCACCACTTCATTCCGCCTTTGCCAAATACCAACCCGCTTGCCAATTCCGGGCCAACACCGCGCGGGACATTTGCTCCAAGAGCGCGAATATACGTATTAGATCTAGCTACCTCGTACTCAGAGCCGTTACGAAGATGGAACCGCGGCAGAGACTCGGGTTGATGAGCAAGGCTGACCTCAGCGGCGCCGTCTGTGCGGTCCGCCCTGCCTGTGGTTGGGGGCAGTAGCTTGGCGGGATAAGCTTTTGAGGGCTGGGTGTGCATGTGCGCGCGGCCGTTGTTGTGTGGGTTTTTTTGGGAGGGGTTTTGTTTGCTTACCTCGTACTGTTCTGCTTGTAAGTATTGCGGCTTGTCTGCTTCGTTGGAGGGTGGTGGTGAGATGCGGATGTAGAGGATGATGTGATCGCGATCGTGGTGCCGTTTTGTCCCTTGGCGGCGTGGATGCTTATCTGCGCACGCTACGCTATTAAGCGTACGGGAGCTTGTCGCTTGGCGTCCAACGGTCATCACGATGCGGCGCGGACTCGATATTCAATGCGCTTTGTTGATGATGTCAATCCCATATGCTTCGGTAGTACCATCCTACCCATCAACTACCACATCCCCCTCCAAGTCCTCCAAAAGCCATACCATCCATAAAAAACGCCAACCAGATATGCATCCACCACCACCCGCCCAAATTCCAGTCTCACAAAAAGCCAAAAAGCGCCAGATATATCGCCCTAAGATGCCGCTGCAGTCTGCTGGCCCGATCCGCAAAACCCAACCCAGCCTACCCTTTTAAGACTCCAAAGCTGAAAACGCAAGCAAGAATACGAACTCCTAAAGTAAAACCCGTCACTCATCGCCCCCGATCCACTCTAAGCCCGGCTACAACTCCTCCTCAACCTCCATCCCCTCCGCCTCCTCCGCCACTGTGGCCTCTGGACCTGCACTCCGCGTAGCGCAGTACTGGACAATGAGCCGCTCCAGATCATGCAACTTGTACGGCTTCGTCAAAAAGCCCCTCATCCCCGCCTTCGCAGCGCGCTTGAGCGCCTCATCCGTAACATCGGCCGTAACAGCCAGAATCGTCGGCCTCGCCTTCCAGCGCGGATTCCACGTCGCCTGCTCCCCACCAGCCTCCCCCTCCGCAATCTGACCCTCCGCCTCAACCTCCTCTTCCTCGCTCCCGCTCCCGCCGGGCCCCGCAGGCGCCATGCCAAGAATGCGCTCGCTCGCCTCATACCCGTCCATAAACGGCATCCACAGATCCATAAGCACGACGTCGACGTCCCGGCCGCGTGGGCTCTGCATCACACGCACCGCGTCCGCGCCGTCGTACGCCTCGTGCACACTCGCGTACCCCAGCTTGGCGAGCATGCTCACCAGCAGCCGGCGGTTGATCTTATTATCCTCGACGACCAGGAAGGTAAGCGGATACCGCGCGGCCAGTTTGCGGTCAAACGCCTCGCCGCGCTTGGCGCCCGCTGCCGGGGTGGGCACTTTCCCGTCGAGGGGCGACGGCGAGCGCCGCCGGGAGCTCGTAAGAGTAGAGCGGCCACGCTTGCGTGTCTGCGCGAGGGCGGTGCGGCGTGAGCGAGGGGTAGGAATGTCCGTGGAGCTGATGCTGTCGCGGGACGCGGAGGAGCGGTGCATAGGCTCCGTGGGGACGCGAGTGGCGGAGCGAGAGCGCGGGGAAGGAGACGCAAAGGGTGAGGAGGGGATGTCGAACGGCGAGGTCGGGACGCGCATTTCGAACTCGGAACCCCGGTGGGGGCCGGTGGTGTCGGAGCGCACGCACTTAAGTTGGCCGCCTAGCTTGTGGGCTAGGCCCTTTGCCACGTAGAGCCCGAGGCCCAGGCCCTCGGTTACGCGGGTTAGGGAGTCGTCTTCTTTGCTGAATGGCTTGAAGAGGTTGGGTAAGAAGGATTCCGGGATTCCGGGGCCGCTGTCGCGGATGTTGATCACGATGAAACGCGAGCGAGGGCTGAGGCGCACAGTTAGGACGATGCGACCCTCCTCGGTGAACTTGAGCGCGTTGAGGAAGACGCCGGTAATTACTCTCGCAAGGTCTTGTTCGTCGACTGTGAGGGATTAGTAAGGGATCTAGATAAGATCAACGGGACGTACTGAGAATCGTTTCCGGCACGCCTGGGTCTACGCTCCACTCTATCATCTTGATCTTCACTTCGCCATTTGGCCGCGCGACCATTACTTCGATCAACTCGCCGCCTTCTGTTTCTCGGGCAATTGCAGAATCAGGCCGTCCGCCAACCTTCAGGGAGTCGTTGACAAGGTATTGCAGTAGGTCGCGGATATTCGTGTGACGCAGGCCGGGCGGCAAAATGCCGTGTTTTGCGCTCAGCATATCCATGGATGACGTCCCGTCTGGAATTCCCCTCGAGTAATCATCACCAAAGTCCGAAGCCGGGTACGGTTCGCCTTTGCAGCGACCATTGATACGGTTTGGTGACGGTTCAAGCGTGCGGCGCTGTTTCGAGGGCTTGTAACAATGAGACTCGCTGAGCCTGCGCCTCTTGACGCTCTTGAAGTTGATCGGGACATTATCGCCCGTGACCACGATATCCGGCCTCTTCTCCAGGTGCCTCTTGCCCCAGGGTTCCTTCTCGGGCGGCGAGATTGGCATCTCCGGCACGCCCATGTTCATGTCGTACGCGTACACTACGTTGTCCGCCGCTTCGACTGCGCGACGCGAGCTGTCCTGCACCACCTCGATGTTCTCTTTCAGCAGACGGAACACAGCGCGCATGCCGGGGTCAGTGGCGCCCTCGCTTGCCTCCTGTACTGTTGCGTACATGACATCTAGCATGCCGACAACACCCTGCATCGGCGTGCGCAGCTCATGCGACAAGCTGCGCGCATACGGCTTGAGCGACTGCGCGGCCGTAACGACCTCATGGGGGATAACGGGTCCGAAGGATTGCGTCTGGGCCAGCTTCGCGAAGTTGCTGCGCTCGA